CGTGCACGAAAGTTCGTTCAATCTCAGCTGCTCAACATTTTCAGTTATTTGCTGTTGTATCGCCGATTTTCAAAATGCAAATGATCTGTTTACTTTATTTTCAAAGAATAGTTTGTTTTGTTATTGTTTGGTTGGTGTCTTATATGAAACTGCGACATTGCGCAATTTATTGGACAGACTTGTTTAAGATCACACAGCGTAATTTGGGTGGCATTTTATTTCGTATTTTTAAATCTTCTTTTTATTTTTGACTATCTGTAAATTTAGTTTCCTGCTCTTAATTGTGAATGCATACTTGATGGTTTTAAATGCACCTGAAATTAAGTGGTGCTTGACGAGCCTATACAGTATTGCGTTCATGTATGTGACGTCACTGAAGGGCTAAGGTTGAAATGCACGGCCCGCCACTGATGATAATAAATAAACGAAGTAAAGGCGGCACGGTGAGCGACGGGTTACCACATCCGCCTCACAGTCCAGAAGTGCAAGGTTCGATTAACATGCACCAGAGGTTAATTGAACACTCTAAACCAGGGGTGCCCAACCAGTCGACCGTGGTTTGATCCCAAGTCGACCGAGGTGTGTTGGGGGATTTTATTTTATTTATTTATTTTTTTTAATGACATGACAGGCAGTCAGTGTCACCAAACTTAGCGACTTTGACACTATATTTAGTGAGTATTCAGATCGAGCGACTCTTTTTTCAAAAAAAGTGACTAGTAACAATCTAGCGACTTTTTCTGGTGTTATTGGAGACTTTTGGAGTCTGTGCGGTGAAAGCACGTTGTTCTCAATGAGCAGCCGGAGCTGTTGTGGCCCCACCCCCAAATGTAGCCGCTGCTGGCTGATCGCGCCAGGTTTACAATCTGGGCTGGATGTAAATGAAAAACTTTTCTTTGTCTGAAATAAATAAATAAAAAACATCAACAAATAAAAATTACAAAAGAAAAAAAAACATCCCTCCCTTCACAAGTAAATCACACGCACTGATGACATCATTGAGCGACGTTTAAGACAGCCAATAGCTACTTTCCTTACCGATGAGTTAGAAACGCTGCTGGAAGTTGACCGCTGTTAACAGTAGCGAGCAGCGAGCGATTACAGCAGTTCTTTGTAGTGATGGGAATTCCGGCTCCTTTTAGGGAGCCGGTTCTTTTGGCTCGGCTCCCTAAAAAGAGCCGGCTCTTTCGGCTCCCAAATGGCTCCTCAGTTTTTTTGTTGCTTAAATTAGTTTACTCCCAAAAATAATGTAAAATTATGTGTAAAATGAATTACGAATGTAAAAAATATACAGTATATCAAATATTTATTATTTATATGGCTTTATATTCTTCTGAACATACTCAACATGGCGTACAACATGGAGTGCTACAAAAAAATAAATTACAAAGTACAAAAACAAAGACCCATCTCAAAACAAGGTCAACAAAAAGTTCCAATCTCTGATTGTGCATATTTATAAGTGTTTAAATATTTACAGTAAAACAACATAAGTAAGCTTTGATTACCACACAACAAATTATAAATTAAAATTTGATATTGGACATTTTAACCTTGCACAGTCTACACGCTGCCTTTGAACTATCAATTCAGTTGAAATCAGTCCAAATTTCACTGCGTTGCCTATCCATTTTTGCGTGTGCGTGTGCGTGCGTGTGTAACCCTCTCCTTCCTCTTCTACCACGGATCTTGACTAATCACGTGCGGCTTTAACCGAAAGGGGGAAAAAACAGGAGGAAAAAAAAAGTCGGCTCCCATTAGGCGGCTCCCTCTTAGGAGCCGGCTCATGTCGTTCACTTCAAAGAGCCGGCTCCAAGAGCCGGCTCGTTCGCGAACGACACATCACTAGTTCTTTGGCTGGTTCAATGCGGCTCCCCGGCTTTCACACGACAAGTGTTGAAAATGCCTCGGCGTTGGGAATGCCATTCAAACAACGGCGTTAAATACACAGAACGTACTACGTCAGCTAATCATCAATCCCATTACTTGACTGAACACAGAGGGCAACCAATCAGATGACTGAATCACCACTCATGCGCAAACAACGGCGCTAAACGCTAAGATAGTTAGCGAATTACCTCTGATGTGTGCCCAATTCACACTCGACCGGGAGCCAGCGGACTGGTCCCAAGTCGACCGCAAGGGGTGGGAGGAGGAAATGGGGTGGAGAGAAACGCGTTCGTGCGTGCGTGCATTTGAGTGTGTGCGTGTGTGTGTGTGTGTGTGTGTGTGTGTGTGTGTGTGTGTGTGTGTGTGTGTGTGTGTGTGTGTGTGGGCGCGCGCGCGCGCGCGCGCGCACACACACAGACGGGATGCCCATGTGTATGTGGCTCTTTGCAGTAACACAGTAAAAAAAAATCCAGTCTCTGACTGGTTGGCCACCCATGGCTAAGAGGAAACGATCCAAGAAGTACCATTTTCCACCAATGAAGTACCAATGAAGAGCTACTCACCATTTTGCCATTAAAAGTACACACCAGGGGTGAGGATATTTTTAATGCTTTCATGGGATTTGTTAGCGGGGCAAAACAGTAGCTTTTAGATTTATCTTTCTTCACTGATCTCACTGGCCAGCTCAATTAATTGAATTTAGAGCTGCAGGCTAAGGGTAAAGATGTAGTCAACATGATGAATTCAGTGAGCACATTTAAAAGCAAGCTAAAGCTGATGTCCAACCGGCTGCGGCTTGGTAACCTGTGCAACTTCCCTCACAGCAAGCAGAACTACAAGGTCAAGGGAAAGGTTGAGACACAGCTTGACAGTGCACATTATGAGAAGCATGTTCAGAGCATCTCGTCAGAGTTTGAGAGGCGTTTTACTGACTTTACATCCATCGAGCCTATAGTCAGCTATATGTGTTATCCATTTGGTGCAAATATTGGTGACATTGTTGCCAAAGTCAAATCACTTTTCGACTTTGAAAGCCCACTCTTGAGGATGAGATTCTGAGATTGCAAAATGACATTGGGATCAAAGCCAGCCCACTGTGGTAGGAAGTAAATTCCTTTTTTCAAACAGATCTACCTGTTTCGTAGCTGTTTTTTTCTGTTTGGTTCATATTTGGTTCTATGTAGGAAAGCCAAATGGCTTGGCCCTGGGGCTTTTAGTGTAAATTAATGTGTGTGTGTGTGTGTGTGGGGGGGGGGGGTCAGATGTTGACACTGGACTGGTAGAGCTCCGGAGGTTGGCTCCTTGAAAAGTAGCCCTTGGGACAAAAAAGATTGGGCACCCCTGGTATAGATTCTTCTCCTGATGTGTTGTCTCAGCATCTTCTTTGTCAAGGTCTCTCTTTACATTCTCCAAGACCTTTTTGAAGTCTGAAGGGAATGGAGAGGGTTGTTCTGCAATCAGCTCGTTATCTTCTATGTGTGTTCTGATTGAAGATGCACCACAATGAAACACCACAATGAATAATGATGACGTTATTGATTTTTCATAGTTCATTTTCTTGTCGCGAGTCGCTATTTGTTGATGGTCCCTGAGCACTGTCTTCACATCAGCTCTTCATAAGAAGCAATGTGATATTTGTCACGCCGATTACAAGTAGGTCTGTTATTGTATTCTGCTTTTTTGTGCATTAGTGAAATACATCCTCTTCTTTTCCTTTCATGAGTTCAATGAGTTGTCAGTCATTGAGTCTCAAAAAATATTTAAAATGTGACAATAGAAAGGGAAAAAAAAAACAATAAAAATCGGTGAACAAACATGGTGGCGCCGAACACATACCTGTCATTGTTACTGGTATTATCTTCACCTTGTTGAATATTTGAAGATACTGAAAGTGTTGTAGCTTTTTAAAAGGAGGGTTTCTCTGACTAAATTGCAGTTATCAGCATCATGAACACCTTCTCATCACACTTATTCTGTGTGTTATTCTTTGTTGTTTCACAGTTTGTCATCGTTAAGGAGGATGACCTGCAACCCACCAACCCCCCAAAGTTTGATATGATGGAGGACATTGCCATGTTGACGCATCTCAACGAGGGCTCTGTGCTCTTCAACCTCAGGCGCAGATACAGCATGTGGATGATCTATGTATATTTACTACTACAACAACAAAATAATAATAATAGTAGTAATAATAATAATGTAATTATTGTCACCGTGATCATAATCATAGTGTATCTGTTTATCTGTGTCAGACCTACTCTGGCTTGTTCTGTGTGACTGTGAATCCTTACAAATGGCTGCCGGTCTACTCAAACCAAGTGGTGGCGACTTACAAGGGAAGACGCCGCACCGAAGTGCCACCACACATATACGCCATCGCCGACAACGCCTACTGCGACATGCTGCAGAGTGAGTAGATCCCATTTTCACAGCAATCAGTTCTAAGCCTTCTTTGCATCTTCGTGCTCACTACAGTGGACAGCCAGTCAAAAGCTGCTTTCTTCCATAATGCATGAGTCACAGATGTGCCTTTGTCACAACTGGGGCTGAATGATGATGGAAAAAAATCTAATTGTGATCCCTCGCCCTCCCCCCGCCCCCTCAAAATTACAATTGTGATTTGATGTATGCTTGTTTTTTTCCAAGGTCCTTTTCAAACAAAAAACGTTTGTTACAACACACAATATCAGATCTTTTATGCAAGTAAAGGCAAATGGACCATTATCTATGACAATGACAGGTACAAACTTACTAAATACTTTGATGGGCAGTTTGGTCAGCATTCACCACGACGACATAATTCTGCCACACAGGTGTACATGCAGTGTAAACATTATGTACTATATCTTCTTTCTTTAGTCCTCGTGCACTGAATGGCGCATAGAGCCAACCATAGCTACCCAGTCTCTCCATCTGGGTCTATTGTGGGCAAGATGTTGAGCTTGTGCCAGTGTCACATGGCAGGCCCCAAGGCCCAGGGCTATTCCGTCCACCAAGCAAATGCAGGGGGCACCTCTGGGTCGTCTCCAGCCAGCTTGCTGGGGGTTGAAGGCCAAGATGATGCTGGTTGGATGTTCCTGGGGCAGGCGGATGACATGACCATAACATCGCACTCGCCACATTGTTGGGAGGTGGGAGGTTGGCGGCTATTTGGTTCTCTCTCTTAAAGCCTGATTTGTGACGTGCTGGATCCCCGAAATACCTTCAATCCTCCTGAAGGCACTGCAGTCAAAGCCATCAAGCCTAGACGCAAGAGTGTTGTTCAGTGGCCAGGTTTTGGAGCCGTAAAGGAGGACTGAGATGACTGAGGCATTGTAGACTCTGAGCTTTGTTGCCACAGTCGTTCTCTACAAGGACTGCATGACTGAGGCTGCTAGGGCACAGCGACTGTCAACATCTGTTTTGAGGTCTCCATTTTGGGTCACTGCCGAGCCGAGGTATTTAAAGGTCGCCAACATGCATCAATTCTGACAGAATTATATACTATATACTATAATGGAAATCAGTGCGGCCTGGTGCTCGACTGGTGAGCATGTCGGTCTCACAGTACAGAGGTGCAGGGTTTGATTCCGGCTCCAGCCTTCCTCTGTGGAATTTGCTTTTTGGCATGTTGAAAATCCTTCCCAAGATCGACTGAATGAGTTGAATGTATTGAATTTCAGAAAAAAATCATGCCTGCAACCCTTGTGACGATAATTTTCTCTAAAAAGGTGCTGACCATAAAATAAAATACCTGGAACTCAACAATACTGATAACAAAATTGAAGAAAATACAACTTGGAACTCCGGGATGGGGGTGCGGTGGGAGAGGGGGTTATCCTGTAACATTTTCTGACTGATTCAAACCGTTCCAACTTTAACTTGTTCAGCTTCTTATGTGTCAGCGTCCACAATGGACCAGCCCATTGTCTTCACTGACCGGTTAAATTTACATCGGTACTCAAGCATATGGAAGAAAATAAACTGAACAGTACTGTACAGTTGTACACTGTTGTGGGAGATGCCTGATTTTTTACTCACGCAAAGGGAAGAAAATAGCTTATGAATAGCTCTTTTCTGGAGTGACTGAGGTGAAACTTGTTCTCATGCATGTGTAGAGAAGAAAATAAATTTTGAATAGCTGTCCATTGCAGTGTCTGATATGCACAAACTCCTAATTTCCCCATGCTTCACAGAGTCATGAGCAAAGCTCCCAGAGCGAGGCTCAATATTCATAAATAAAAGGCTCGAAGAACTGAACTTCACACATTCCGCTTTTTCCACAGATCGTGAGAATCAGTCGATGCTCATCACGTAAGTCCTCACTCACCTCCTTTTAAAGTCAACCGTGGTGTACTTACAAGGCAAGGCAAGGCTAGTTTATTTGTGTAGCACGTTTCATGAACAAGACAATTCGAAGTGCTTTATATGAAACATTAAAAGCATGACAGAAAAAGAAACAAAATATTAAGAGATGACAAAAATCACAATAAAATAATTTAAAATAATTAGATTAAAATGGTCAAAACCAAGTATCAGAGTAGATAAATTAAAAGATAGCATGCAAATGAGGATTAAAACAACAGAATGAAAGTACAAATAAAACCGCAAAGTAGTTGGAACGTTTGTACATCCGGTGAGATTTAACTATTGCAAGATTAAATCGATTAATGTAGGCTTACCATTTTCGTCTTTCGCTTACCGGTAGTTTTTCTCTGCGTGGCTCGAGAACGGAAAGTCAAAAATCTATGCTCTTTCTTACGCCCTCTCTCCAACACTGTCCGGGCGATGCACACTGCTCGAGAGCGGCGACGATGCCAGCTGCTCCGTGATAAAGCTTCAAAATTCATCATTTTAGAAATGCATTTTCAATCCTCTCGGGCAGGGGTCCCCAACCGCCGGGGCTGGTGCACAGAAAGAATAAATAACTTACATTCCTTCTGTTTTATTCATTTCGGAATCTGAAAGATGTTTTATTTTGAAAAATTACCGGATTCTCTGTTATATCAGTCTACAGTATGTCACTCGTGACGCAGGTGAATGCGCGCTTTTCATTCACGTGATAGGTTAACACTAAAATGAAACCCAAGAGCTAGCAAAATGAATAAAAAGCAAACATCTTTGAAACGTTTTTACGGGATGGGGAAAAGGCCCAGCCAGGAGACAGAAGAGGAGCCTACAACTTTCAGGAAAGAGAAGGGTACATTTAATAGACAGCATCAGTAGTCCTATTTCAAATACGGTTTTATCTCAACGGGAGATTCACATGCACCAAGCCTACTCTGCATAATAAGCTGCGATGGTGAGTCGTATTTTTCATGCACTTTTTATTTGCTGCCTATCTTATTTTGAAGGCAGGTTTAAACATTACCATAGCAACCAGAGAATTTTGCGGTCAGATGGAATGTTCCTCATGTCATGATTCCTGTTTATTATTATGTTTCGAAAATACCACATTTTTCATGCAGGTCTTATCATATTATATTGTTGTATCTATCCGGCCTTATATTGTATAGAATATATTGTCTGACAAGAAACCGATCTGTGGGGCAAAAAAAGGTTGGGGACCTCTGCTCTAGGGTCCAGATAAAACATGTTATTTTCATAATGTGACTGCCCCCCCGCCAAAAAAAAAAAAAAAAAAATCTAAATTTCACTCACTTTTTAGTAAAATTGCTGTTTGCACCCTCTGAGTTAGCAATGTGCCAGATTTTTTTTTTTAAAGATCATACATATAAAGGGTCAGGCAAAATGATCTGACACATTTGTAGATGAAATAAAAGGCAAATAAAGCAACAAAAAGTGTTTTTAATTTTGAAAAGTACATATTCTGTTTCATTATGTTTTAAAAATTAAGCGGAGTTCTGGTGGTGTGAGGTCGGCTGGTTGATTTTTGTTTCAATGCAGCTCCAGTAGCTCTGAAGTTGGTAACCCATAACAAGATCGTGTTTCGAGCTGGTACGGGATCATATCTACCATGATTGAAGTGCAAACGGCATGTTCGTTGTGTTGCAAACACTTGTTTGTTCTGATACTTTATTTGCCTTTTACAGAATTTAAACTACAAATGGGTCAGATCATTTTGCATGACTGTGTGTGTGTGTGTGTGTGTGTGTGTGTGTGTATATATATATATACACACACACATATATAATATATATATTTATTTATTTATATAGATAGATAGATAGATAGATAGATAGATAAAAATTAAATTTCCTCGGGTGGTGTCCGTCCCACATTCAGCTCGGGAAGCTTGTGGGTTCTGCGCAGTACCCTTGCTGTTCCCAGCACTGCGCTTTTCTGGACTGAGATTTCTGATGTTGTTCCCAGGATCTGTTGCAACCACTCATCCAGTTTGGGGGTCACTGCCCCAAGTGTTCCGACCACTACAGGCACTACCGTCACATTTACCTTCCAGGCCCTCTCCAGCTCCTCTCTGAGCCCTTGGTATTTCTCCAGTTTCTCGTGTTCCTTCTTTCTGATGTTTCCATCACTTGGGATCGCTACATCCACTACAACAGCTTTCCTCTTCCTTTTAACTATGATCACGATATCTGGTTGGTTCGCCATTACCATCTTGTCAGTCTGTATCTGGAACTTCCACAGGATCTTCGCTCGGTCATTCTCCACCACCTTTGGAGGTGTTTCCCATTTTGAACTTGGGGTTTCCACTCCACACTCACGCACAGATGTTTCGGTAGACTATGCCAGCCACCTGGTTATGGTGTGCCATGTAAGCTTTCCCTGCCAGCATTTTACACCCAGTGCAGTTATGTGTTGGATTGTCTCAGGTGCCTCTTTGCACAACCTACACCTTGGGTCTTATCTGGTGTGGTATATTTGGGCCTCAATGGCTCTGGTGCTCAGGGCCTGCTCCTGAGCAGCCAGGATGAGTGCCTCTGTGCTGACCTTGAGGCCAGCCCTCTCTAGCCTCTGATAGGACTTCTTGAGATCAGCCACTTCAGTTATGGTCCGGTGGTACATCCCGTGTAAGGGCTTGTCCTCCCATGATGGTCCCTCTTCCAGCACCTCATCCTCTTTTCCCCATTGTCTGAGCCATTCTCTGAGTACATCATCCGTTGGAGCCTTCTCCTTGATTTATTCATGGAGCTTGGATGCTTCATCCTGGACAGTGGCTCTCACACTCACTAGTCCCCGGCCTCCTTCCTTAACCCTACATGCATGGTGACGAGCTTTCGGGTATTAACATCCGTGGTCTGAATCTCTTCCTTTGGCAACCTTATTATTCCTGCAGGGTATCCGATACACTGGCAGGGCATAGCTGTTGATTGGCCGCGTCTTGTTCTTGCCATTGAGCTGGCTTCTTGGGACTTGCCTCATCCGCTGGAGGGATTTGGCCGTAACCGCTTTCCTTGTTGCCAGTTCGAGGTTGCCATTGACTTGTGGTATACCGAGGTACTTGGAGCGCTCCTCAATGTCTGCTATTGTTCCTTCAGAGCAGTGGTGCCCAAACTTTTTCCTGTGAGGGCCACATAACTTTTCACTTCTCTGATGGGGGGGGGGCGGTTTTTAACAGAAAAAGTGTGACTGCAAGAGCACCTAAACATAAAAAAAATGTGTTTTCCAGAAACCCACACAAAATCAAATAACCTTTTCTGGATTTTTCATTGAACAAAAGTCAAGAAATAAATAAGACTATTCATGAAATGAATAATAAATAAATAACTCTCACCGGGTTCCTCACAGAAGAAAAGCCAATTACACCATTTACGAAATAAATAATTTTGCTCTGATGAAGTTTATGCATGACACCAGAACCTTGAAGACAGAATCCCAAGTCAATACTTTGCAGCACAGTGCATGCTTGCTGGTGTATTAGGCAGTGAATTTGAAACCCCGTTCTTCCATCTCTCGGTTCATGCGTCTTATTAGAACCCCAAGACGCGCCCACCATACTTGAAGCCCCGTCACTTGTGTTGCTGGCCAGCTTTGACCAGCCCAGGTCAAACTCTTCCCTAGTTTGGTGCATTTTGCCGAAAATATTCTCCCCCGTCATCGTTCCTTTGAGACTTTGGAGGGCTGCCAGCTCCTCGCACATCTCAAAGTTTGCGCTAATTCCACAAATAAAAATTGCGCTGTGCCCTGCATGTCAGTGATCTCATCCAGTGCGAATGAAAATAATTCAAATTCTTTCGTCTTCTGCTGCAGCTGAGCATGTCCATTACCTGCGATTTCATCAATCTGGTCATTGTACTCGCTGATCGACTTGCGGCATTAAAGATGTCTTGATTCTCGGGACACACCTCGTGCACGACAGCATTCATGCATTTCTTGCCAAACTTTCCATCAGTAAAAGGTTTACCGCTGCTTGCTGTCAGTTGAGCAACCCGAAAACTAGCCCAAACAGATGGCTGGTTCAGCTGAGCAGTTTGTCTGCTCGCATTTAGCCATCGTACCTGTCTTTGTGACGGAATTCATGGTGTCTCCGCAGATTGTATTGTTTGAATATCACCACCGCCTCCTGACAGATGAGACAGCCTTTTCTTTGCCTTGAACAAAAAATAAATAAATAAATCGTTTCTCCACTTTGGGTTAAATACCCTGCATTCCAAATCCTTTTTTTTTTCTGACCTAACCTTTTTGCCATGATTACATTATCTTTGAGAGGGGCGGGGTCAGGATTTTTTTCTGGGGTTGCCAGATAACGAACGTCACAGACCGCAGAAAGATGGAACAAATGTCACGTTATATGTGTTTATAAAATAGTTACTAGCTAATAGTTAATCATGAAAGTAGTTCAGAACTAAGGAACACTTTTGTGCAAAAGCCCAACTCTATGATCAAATACAAATACACATAGATGAAAAATAAATCAAAATACTCTCTGGTAATGTTCAGGGGGGCCGGACCAAATGTGGAGGCGGGCCGGATTCGGCCCGCGGGCCATTACTTTGGGAATTGCTACTTCAAGAAGAGAGACCCCTTCAGTGTGGACTACCTTGCCTTTCTTAGTCACCGTCCGACTGTATTTCTCAAGCCCGAATGTTATCTCGATGTCACTGCTGTAGATCCTGGTTGTGTGGATTAGGGAGTCTATGTCCCTTTCGCTCTTAGCAGACAGCTTTATGTCATCCATGTTGAGGAGGTGGCTGATCGTAGCTCCATTTCTGAGGCGGTATCCATAGCCAGTCTTGGCGATTACTTGGCTTAGGGGGTTCAGTCCCATGCAGAACAGCAGTGGGGAGAGCGCATCACCTTGGAATATACCCCATTTGATGGACACTTGGGTAAGTGGCTTGCCATTGGCTTCAAGTGTGGTTTTCCACATCCTCATCGAGGTCGCAACGAAGGCTCTTAGGGTCCTGTTCACCTTATACAACTCCAAGCATTCAGTGATCCATGTGTGTCATCGAGTCATTGGCTTTCTTGGAATCAATCCAGGCTGCACACAGGTTGGTATTTCGGGACCTGCAGTCTTGTGCGACTTTTCTGTCAACCAGGTGCTGATGTTTGGCTCCTCTGTTATCTCTACCTTCTGTGCTTCGCTCATGTATTGATCCATGTGTCCACTTATCTTCGCTGCAATGGTGCCTGACATGAGCTTCCATATTGTGACAGGTTATTGGCTGATAGTTGAATGGGACTGCACCCTTTGAGGGATCCTTCATGATCAGGATCGTTATGTTTCATTTATCTTTACAAACGGTAATGTTGCACTGAAAGCCTACAAAAGACAGAAGCTGTTACACTTTTAATAATATATAATTATTATAATTAATTATTATAATAATTACAATTAATTAATTATATTTCAAAATAATTCATTCAAAGTAAATTATCCCTGTGCTGCATTGCAGACTTTTGGCAATGAATTGGGATGATTTTCTTTTTATTTATTTACTTTTGAATGTTTCAACAGTGTCTTCTGTTAGCTGCCACTTTTTATAGGGAAGCTGTCCAATTGACAATCGACAATAGCAAACATCTAATTGTTATTGTATTAATTCTTCTATCACCAAGAGAAAAGCATGTCGAATGAATCTCCGGAAAAAACTCACAGTATATTGACGCAAAGACGACTTTGTGTATATTGAGCCGACGAGCATAGATGTTGTAGAATGATCTTATATTCTACTACCAAGCCGACAAGCAGTCGAAGTCGAAATAAACGTGACCACGGGCATTCTCAACAAATTTCATGAATATATTTGGTACCTGGGTCGGGGACGGAAAACCTGTGGGTTAACAACAAAATGGCTACCCACATCGTTAGAAAAACAAAAGGAAACTAGAAGAACTAACGACACTTTTTCCATAGGAAACACAACACAGACAATGTGAATGACAAACAGTTTGAACAAAATAATTTAGCTCGTCAAGTGGATATAATTTCTCCCGGCGATGATTTTTGTACTGATGGAGTCTGGACTGCAAAGTGTGTGTGAAGTCTCAGGTTGACATATGGAAGACTATCGACGTGAATGACGCCCCGACATACAACGCACACAAATAACCCAAATGCTGGATATAAATAAAACATTTTGGATACATTTCACAACCCTGCAGTTGAGTCCACAAAATATCCCATTTTTTTTATTGAGGGGTTTTGACCTAGATGAAGAATAACCCAAAATAGGGTTAACGTTTCATCACCCTGCAGTTGGATAGATAAAACAACTCTCTCATTTTTTTAGTGTGTAGCAAACTCGTATGCGTTGAAAATGTTGCAATGAAAAAAAATTGGTGGTATCATCATGAAGATTTGATTTCGTTCAGTGTTCATGTTGTTGTTTCTCTGTTTTGGTTTGCTGTGATTAGCGGCGAGTCAGGTGCGGGAAAAACGGTCAACACAAAGCGAGTGATCCAGTACTTCGCTATCACCGCTGCTCTTGGAGAAACAATGAAGAAAGGAGTATGTTGCCTTCTACTCACTCCAAAATGTTTGATGAGCGTGTGATACACGTGTTCGACTTGTTAGTGTGTCAGCCTCACAGTACAGATGTGCAGGGTTCGATTCCGGCTCGGGCCTTTGTGTGTGGCGTTTGCATGTTCTCCCCATGCCTGTGTGAGTTTTCTCCGGGTACTCCAGTTTCCTCCCATATTCTAAAATCATGCGTGGCAGGTTAATGGAGCACTCTCAATTGTCCCAAGGTGTGACTGTGAGCGCGGATGGTTGTTTGTCTACTGCCCGAAGACAGCTGGCAGAGGCTCCAGCATGTCCCGCGGCCCTTGTGAAGATAAGCGGATCAGAGAATGGATGGATGGATTTAGCATGTGACGCTTGTTACAGTGTGGTAACGTTACACGCTAGTTTTGCTTTGGATGCTATATATCTCACTGTTAGCACCACATCTGTTTGTGTGTTCTCAGGGATCATTGGAGGACCAGATCATTGAAGCGAATCCTGCCATGGAGTCCTTTGGAAATGCCAAAACCATCCGCAACGACAACTCCTCACGCTTTGTGAGTACAACCGCCGCCAGTGATGAGAAACTTCACATTATTATGACCACTGTTGAAAAATAGATAGCTTTTGCAAAGACCTAGCTCCCTTGTGCAGTATGCCTTTGAAAGTTACAGCCACCATATCAATGCCACACTTGGAAAAACAACCAAGGCTAATATCTGTCACAGAAGAGTGTCAAACCAACACATTAAGCACTCATTTACAATTGCAATAATTCAAAATAAAATGGCAAAAAACAATCATCATCTTGCAAGACTTATTAGCTGTGCTGAGTTAAGCCCAATTTTAGTAGTGGAATTTTGGTCACTGAGCTCAGAAAAGCCTTGCATTATTTTTCAATGAACACCACATAGTTTACCTTGGATTAGACAAAACTGCAAGTGATGATTTTTGAGGGACTCAAATAATTGGAGACAAATAACAACTTGGCCTCATGTTTGTGCCTTTTTTTTAACCTAATAATCGCAAAGTGTTTTTTTCATAGTTGTTTCCAAAACTTTGAGACAATGTACCCATTTTACATTAGAAAAATTGCACGACACAACATCAACAAGAATTTCATTTTATCTGTGAACATAGAAGAATTAATGATCCTTAACATAATGATGTACTTTTTATGAACTCGCTATTAACTTACTGGTCATGTTTAATTTAAGCTGATATACTTGCAGAAAGACCGTTTTTTTGTATGCAGTGTTGCCACAATTAACTTGAGGAAACAAATGAATTAGTTTACTTATGACTTCATTTTAAAAGTAACCTCGTAAATTCACTGATTACTTGATTTAAAGTTATTTTATGAGTTACATTCAATAGTTGCGGTCTCAACATAAAAATGTCAATTTTGCATGTACTTTGTTATAAGTGCATTTTTTGGAGGATTGATTAATAGTTTTTATGGAAGATAAAAATAAAAACATTAAATATTCAACAATATTGCTTGACTAAAATTAAATTAAAAACGTGTTTTTATTTTTAAAAAACAGCATTTCTTGAGTTCACTTATTGTACAGTTAATTGGCTACTTCTTTTTTGACCTGACATTTAGCGGTTCTTACAGTATGGAAAACATTTGTAATGTACATTGTATAAATTGGTGATATTAGGCCAGTTGTTCACAGTATGAAAGTAGATTGGAATGAAAACATGGAGCAGAAACTGACTAGGCAAGCTGAAGCATCCCATTGCTGCCTCAATGGATGGAGGGGGAGGAGGGGAGGGGTCCCGGGTGGTGGGTCCCATCCCTTACTCAGCAACCAACATTTTCGTTGTTTAAATTTGGTTGGAAGTTATTCAATGAAAAAAAAGCCTTAAAGGCTCAGACAAGAGTTGGGACCTGAGAGAGACTCTGAATTACAATGAGCAGAATGCAAATTTTTATATAGTCTTCTGGGAAAGTCCCTGCCCCCTAAATTGGTCAGGAATTGTGATGAGCTAATTTCCGAGCAATGAACTAGTCAAGTCAAGTCAGAATCAGAATCAGAATCGCCTTTATTGTCATTGTATTGCATACAACAAAATTTGGGTGCATATCGTATAAAAAAATAAAATAACGGTTTAATAAATACAAACAACAACACACAACAACAGCAACAGTAGTGGTAGTATGGAACTGAGGCTTATATTGCACACAGGACGCATATTGCACATGAAATGGCTGAGATATTGCTCATTATTGCACATAGTGAGGTAAGTGAGTTTAGGTTTAAAATGCAGGAGCTTTGATTATTTTCTATGGTTATTTATTGCAGTAATGGCTCTCGGAAAAAAAAAACTGTCCCTGAATCTGCTTGTCTGGGTTTTGTGTGATCTGTAACGCCAGCCCGAGGGTAACATGACAAACAGGTGGTTGCTGGGGTGGGATGCATCCTTGATGATGTTGGCAGCTCTGCTGAGGTAACGTGAACTGGCAATGTCCTCCAGTCTGGGCAGAGAGCAGCCAGTGACCTTCTGGGCCAGATTTATCACCCTCTGCAGCACTCTCCTGTCTGCTGCTGAGCACCTCGCATACCACACTGTAATGCAGTACACCAGGGTGCTCTCGATGGTAGCTCTGTAGAACATCACCAGCAGCTTCTCCTCCAGGTTGTTCCTCCTGAGCACTCTCAGAAAGTGGAGTCGCTACTGGGCTTTCCTCACCACCGCTGTGGTGTTGGCTGTCCAGGAGAGGTCCGCAGAGAGCTGCACACCCAGGAACCTGGTGGAGCTCACCTTTTCCACGCAGTCCCCATGAATGTAGACTGGCGGTGGGTCTGCTCCTCCCTTCCTGAAGTCCAGATCATCTCTTTTGTTTTTGTGGTGTTCAGTGGCAGGTTGTTTGCTGAGCACCACGCTGTCAGTCGGTTGACCTCGTCTCTGTAGTCAGACTCATTCCCCCCTGAGATGAGTCCGACCACGGTCATATCATCCGCAAACTTAATTATGCTGTTTGAGAGATGGGTCGGAGAGCAGTCAAATGTGTAGAGCGTGAACAATAGAGGGCTCAATACACATCCTTGAGGAGAACTGGTGCTGAGTGTGATGGTGGAGGAGAAGTGGGGGCCAAGTTTGACGGAGTGTGGGCGATCCGTGAGGAAATTTTTAATCCACTGGCAGATGGAGGTGGAGATGCCCAAGTGAATCAGTTTTTGGACCAGAATCTCCGGGATGATGTGGTTGAAGGCTGAGCTGAAGTCCAGGAAGAGCATCCTCACGTAGTTTCCCGCGTGCCGCAGGTGACTCAGCGCGGTGTGGAGTGCTATGGTTATAGCATCCTCGGTGGACCGGTTTGCCCTGTAGGCAAACTGGTAAGGGTGCAGAGTGGGAGGCAGGCAGGCTCTGATGTGCTGTGAGACCAGTCTTTCAAAACATTTCATGACCACAGGCGTAAGTGCAACAGGCCTGTAGTCATTGATACTGTCAGCTGCTGATTTTTTTGGGACGGGGATGATGGTGGAGGCTATGAGGCAGGATGGGATGATGGCCTGTGACAGAGACTGGTTGAAAATCCTGGTGAAAACTCCAGCCAGTTGGTCCGCACATGCCCTTAGTACCTTACCAGGTACGCCATCCGGGCCAGCCGCCTTCCTGGGGTCCACAGACTTTAGCACACGTCTCACTTCGTGCTCCTGAAGTGTCAGTGTGGAAGTGCTGGGGGTGGTGTGTGTGGAGTGACTGCTGGGGTTCTGGCTGCTTCAAAGTGGGCAAAGAAGTGGTGAAGTTCCTCTGCCAGCGAGGCATCAGTCCTAGCATTCACCGCGTTGCTGCTTCTGTAATTCGTGATGTGATTTATTCCCCGCCACATCTTCCTGGGGTCATTCACGGCGAAGTGGAACTATATTTTCCTCTTATAGGCCGCCTTGGCCTCCCTAATGCCTCTTTTCAGGGCTGACCTGGCCGCGCTGTACAGGGCCCTGTCCCCTGACCTGAAGGCGGTGTTGCGTTTTTTTAGTTGAGACTGGACTTCTGTGTTCATCCAGGGTTTCTGGTTTGGAAAAACCCTGATCCTTTTGTTGACGGTGACAGTGTCAACACAGTTTTTGATGTAGGAGAGTACGGTGTCAGTGTACTCCTGCAGGTTGTGGTTGAAGAATAAATTCCATTCAGTCCTTGAGAAGCAGTCCTGTAGCTGAGAGAGGGCTCCCTCAGGCCAAGTTTTTATTGTTTTTGTCTGTGGTTTCGTCTTCCTCAGCAGGGGAGTGTAAGTGGGGGTGAGGGAGAGGCAGAGATGGTCAGGTAGCATGATGGGGGAGGGGATGATCCAGCAAGATGGGGGAGGGGAGTGACTCTATAAGCCTGTTTAATGTTGGAAGAAACATGGGACAAAGTATTGTCACCTCTTGTGGCGGACTTCACGTATTGGACGAATTTAGGAAGCACAGTCTTTAAACACGCTTGGTTGAAATCGCCGGCGATAATACAGACGCCATCCGGGTGAGCAAGCTGCAGTTTGTTTATACAGGCGAGCAAGAAGCTAAGGGCTGTGCCAACGTTAGCATCAGGTGGGATATAAACAGCTATCACAACAACAACCGTGAACTCCCTTGGGAGATAAAATGGTCTGCACAAGACTGCCAGAACCTCTAAGTCAGGAGAGCAGTGCGTATCGATGATCCTGTTGTTATTACACCACTCATTGTGCACGTAAACACGTCCCCCACCTCTACTCTTGCCCGAGTCGCTGTTTCTGTCCTGCCGGTGAAGCGTACGGCCTGCTAGCTCGACTGCAGCTTCGGGGATCAGCGGGTGAAGCCACAACTCCGTAGTGAAAATAACGCTGCAGTTCCGCACAAAGCTGTTTGTCGCCAACTATAATTCCAATTCGTCGATTTTGTGAGTGATGGATGTGGCGTTGGAAAGGAAGAGACTCAGTAATGCTGGCCTGTGAGGTTGTTTCCGTAGCCTAGCATCAGAGCCCGACCGGCAGCCTCGCTTTTGCTTCCTTTCTCTCCGCCGCCTTCTCCGCTTCCTAGACGGGCTGGTAATCCACGAACAGCCTGGTGGTCTCGCTATGTCTTCTGGGATGTTGAATTTGTGATGGAAACCGCCGGTAATGGTCAGATAACGGCCAGATTGGACGTCAGACCGAGGTCAATAAGTTCCTGACGACTATAGGTAAGAGCGGTTGTGCAAAACTCAAAAAAATAACCACGAAATAAATATATAAAATAAGCACAGAACTGGAGAGCAAAGAGCTGCTGCACCCGTGCGCGCCGCCATCTTGAATCGTTGAATCGGTCAAGTCAAGTCCAACTTCATTGTCAAATGTGCTGTATGAGTATAGATGAAATTTCCTCCCTCTTAAACAAACAGACAACAGACAACAAGAGGAGCGGCTGCGGGTGCCCGCGCCCTCATCAAAAGAACACTTAACATAATGACAAAATAATACAACACAACACATAAAGCAGACAACAGACAGTCGTTGCCATCTTAACCACTTTTCCTCCATTCACTTTGTTGTTTGAAACAATAGTAGATGACAGAGGAGCGAATCAAAGTGTCCTTTTCACCAGTG